ACCAGAGCACCTGGCACTTGCAGAATACTCAGAATACCCTTCAGGTACCCACCACGGTACTTAGGCGAATACTAGGTACCTCGCTTGATCACCTTGCTCTTGTTTCTTTCTGACTTGTCCAGTATCACGAATACGAATCTCGAATTTGAATTTCTCTTGGGCTTCAATTTCAATGTTCTTTCGACCGACAGGTTGAAGAAAATCCTTGACAGGTTCAACTTCCTGTTGCCAGTTGGGGTCAGTGACCAGTCAAGCCTTGTGGAGAATGGATGTGTTGGTTGATCTTCCTGTAGCCCCGACCCGATCATCCAATCGTCTTCGCTACAGCGATTCGCTACAGGCACATTTGGGTTTTAGAGATCTCCGCTGCCGCCGCAATCAACCCACCTCCAGCTTGTCCACCTCGCACCTTGCATCTCACCCTCACCCACCTTGCACCTTGCTCGTCTCGCTAAAAGGTTGTAGACTAGGTAGGTTGCCTGCATCTGCCCGGTACCCCAGTCACCAACAGGTCACCAACAGCTTCACTTGCATCCTGTCTGTCCTCTCATCCTCTCCGCCATCTTCGGTCTACGACTCACGACTTACAACTCTCACCGCAGCCCATCATCGATTCCGTCTACTTCGAAATATACGAACGAGTTGGACTAACGCCGAAGCAAACCCTATCTGCTTGCCCAAGTTTTTTTTCTTCTATCTCTTCTTTCCCTCCAAGCTTCCCAGCTTGCCCTGCCCTGCCCCTTGCCCCTCGCTCTCCATACCCACGTATCCCCCCGACTCCGCCGACGTGGGAGGCTGCGAGGAGTACTCCGGAGAGCTACATACCCATATAGATAGCCACGCAGAGAGTGTTACCTTACACTCGAATCTCCTCATCTCTGCGAATTACCGACCTATCAGACCTCCTACCTTGCTGCAGCCACCGTCACCCCGTCAGCGACCGGCCGATTGTAGAAAACTGCACTTCGCAATCCCATCTTCTCCCCGCCCGCCGTATTCGCCGTCCTTCATCCTTGGCCACCGCGCACACCAGAATATCATCACTGTACTTCTTGACAGCGGACGCTCCCACCAACTTACGCCGGCGACGACCGCGATTCAGACTGAGCCCTTCACCTGAGTTACGGTCCGGCTACCTCTTGGCGATATCTGACATGTAATTATATCGAATCCGCTCCTCAATCTGCCCGATCATTGCATTCCGCCAAAAGGCGTCGGCGCCCAGCCGTCGACGTGCAAGATTAGATGCGGCCGGTCCAGCACTGCATTGCTATTGAACAACTCCTCTTCCTCCCACACCCTCGCCGCCAACTCACGACCGGGACCGGGCGTGCATCATGACGGATCGAGTAGCGGCCTTTGTTCGGGTGTCGGGCCCGCCGAATAGCAGTTTCCTCGTCGGCTACCCTGGTATCTCCGCCACCCTGGTAAGTAGACTATCTTCTGCAACGTCTTGCTTGGTCTTATTCGGCGCCGGCTTGGTTGTGTGTGTATTCGCGCGGTACTGCTGCTCTCCCGCCCGCCCGTTCAGGTAGGGTGCGCCGAGACTTACCGCCAGAGCCTCACGATGACTGAATGCGCAACACCACCCAGCCCGCAAACTCTGCTGACACGGTCATGTAGCCGCGCATTGAAGGAAAAGTCGAAATCAGGCCAGCGCAAGGATATTCAGCCTCAGTCGCGATTTCCCTCGTAAGGATATGTCTGCAACGGAGAGAGACGATCCACCCGGCCGCCGAAAACGTTGCTAAACGACACCTCGGAACCCCACGACGGGAGACCACCGATGTGGTCGGCAAGGAACTTCTATTATATCGATGCGCGTCCGGCAGGGAGGCTGAGAATGTGATGGCGATGGACCTACCCTTTGTTTTGTTCATCCCTTTCGGCAGAGGTGGCGAAGAAACGAATCGAAGGATACCTCCGGCCTCTCTACAACTTCCCAGCAGAACGGCGGAAACGTATTACGAACTGGTGGTGACGGTCCAGCAAGGGCAGAGTGTGCAGAACAAATATGCTTTCCCGGTGCCGTTGCAGAGATACGACACCCTCTCGACCTTTGGCATGTACAACCGGCCCGAGACTAAGATTGCGACCGTCGATAACATTGTCACCCTGGGGATATCTCTACCCAGGTGGAGCTACGGGCCTATGGATCCTATAACGGTCTATATCAAACTAGCACCGAATCTCGACTGGATGGCCAAAGCCCGGAAAGTCACGATACAGAAGATCACGCTAGGAATTGAAGAAGAGATAACCTACAACCCCGAAGGTGACGAACCAACCAAGAAGATTAACAGGTTACAGAAGTTCAGCCAGCCGGTCGGAACCAAACTTCCAGAAGCCGGGTACGTCACGAATATGGGAGTTATTTTCCCCCATAAAGATCTTAGAGATCAAAACGGAATTGTTAGGAGAGGACAGCCGGCATTTCCCAACTACGAGGTCACATCTTTTACGACAACATCCACGCTATACAAAATCGAGTTCTTTCTCAGTATAAAAGTATGTTTTGGGAAAATGAAACCGGTTGGGGGCATTTTCTCAATGTGATACTAACGTGGTTGATATAGGCATCCTTGACCTCCGCACGCGATATTACTCTTCGCCAGCCTATCGTTATCTGCCCTCTAGACCACCAAGCTTGCAAAGAGGAAATGGATGCTATTGAACAATCCGCTAAAGATGCCTCGTCTGTTGACCCAAATAATCCCATGTTACCAGCCAGGAGAATCGTGCTAGCTAGCGACCCTGATGCCCTCGCGACGATAGGGTTATGCATGGTGGGAGGTCAGAAAAAGCCGTTAATCGAGTGAGACATTATGGAGATCACTCTGAGATTTCATCCTCTCATCCTAGCACGGTATCTTCATTCAGAGACCAGAATGTCATACCCTTATCTCTTGTCGGCAGCTGTTATGTCGCTCCGCATTCGAGGAGGTCGGCTCTCAACTCTCGTTCAGAAGAGTTCTTGAGACCAATCGTCTGGTCCAATGTGGCAAATTGGAGAATAGCGGAGCTGCCTCGAAGGAAGATCTTCCCCAAACGAGCGTCGAGAGACGCAACGTCAAGTTCTTCGATCTACGAGACTACACGACCTCGAGCGTCTCCAACTCTCTGCTGGACGCAGAAAGAATGGCAACTTTGAAATTTTGGAGGCACTTGCACCGCATGTAGCTAGAGGCCGACGGATGATCGCATAACGACCCATGCTATCACGCGACACGATTCCACTGAGTGAAATGAGGCATTCAAATGCACACGTCGATCGATAGGGGCGCCTTACCAGCTTGACCACATCATAATTCCCTCATGTTATTCTGCGACAGAAAGGCGCGCGGTATTGGCTTTCGAGGTGGGCACGGATTCTTGGAAGGCTGTTATGGATTGAATCTTGACCGTATGGCGTTACGAGCCCAGGCGTCGTCGAGATGAGCACCACCTTTTGAGATACCACTGCATCATGTTTCTGGCGTTCTCATTTCATCATGGCAGCCCAGCGCAGGCTCCTTCATTCACATTAATAGCGGATCATGACCGTTTCTGGTCCATCTTGCATTCCCGTCGAATTTTCGCTCTTCCCCATCATATATCGCTTAGATGCGAGTCAGCAAGCATCGATCGCGTGCTCCCGGGACAAGAGGGCGCAAATAGTCGAGAGATGTACCTCAGCTGTTTAGAACTGCCCACAACTTCTTCTTTCCCCAGCATACGATGCAACTGTTTCAAGCCTGTGGCTGTCAGTGGGACCTGGCCGCTTAACATGACGAATGGATCATATAGGCATCGACCCGGAAGATACTTGTACATAAAGGGATGGCTGTATTACTACTTACTTATTGCTTGGTCACAATGGATCCGCCCACACACGGGCAGTAGCCCCTCTGGCGACACGGCGTTATGTGTATGGATGACGGGATAGATATGACTGAACGGATGGAAGGATGGACGGATGGAGTTTGAGGGGTGAAGGATCTTGATGAATGAAAAGATGAAATTTTTGACCTGCACAAACGTATACCGTATCTAACCTGTGGATGTAATCCTTCTTGAGTCTTTGTGAAGAGTGATCGCTATCTCATGATGCAAGCAACCTTGGTCTCAGCCGTGGCTTGGGATGGACCCGGATACACGCTGATATTGAGTTTTTTTTCTTTACTGCTGCTAAGGCTTGCGCGGAGATCGAGGCCTCCCCCTCATTGTTGACTCTCCCGCCCTTTTTTGGGTCACCAGGTGTTGTTCAAGTGCAATGAACGCAATTGCGCAACACCACCCATGATGATACAAGCAACATGATACAGCTTCCTAGTTACAGCCACCAAACCTTTCCTCCTCTCACGATTTTCAAGGTTCAGCTGATAGATAGTCCGAACACCCAACAACAACAACAAGTCCATCTTGAGCGAGATGTTGAGCGACTTGGGCCTTGGGAGACGAGGCTTCAGTTAATAAGGTAGGTAGGGTTCGACGATGCGCCCCCCCCCCCCCCCCCCCCCCTTTTTTTTTTTTCCAGCTTAGGCCCGCGAGTTCAAACAGGCTGCTGGCTGGCTGGCTACTTCTGCACCTATCTTGGTAATGAGGCTTCTGCTAATCGCACAGGAAACCCATAAACTTCGAACTGTGTAATGATTGGCCTTGTTTCTCTTCAATTGGAGGTGTAGATTCGCACGTGATGCTTCAAAAGCTGGACTATTGTGCTCTGCCAGTTCTTTGTGTCATTCCCGACGTATCCCAAGCTTGGACGCGTCTCTTTCATACATGAGTGAGGCTTTACGCGTCTGGACGCATGAGGCATGCCGGCGACATGATAATCCTGGATTTTACCCTGACTAGGAGTTCTCTGGGCGAAAAAAAGGGGGGATCAACCGAATGAGCAGTAAATACTTGTATTGCTATAAGAAATTGGGCGATATGAGGCCTACGGCAGGTGCGTGGGGGGATGGATTGTGAGGGGAAGAGGCAAAAAAAGGTAGAAAATACCAAAAAACATTGTAGAATGAGAGCTGCAGGATTCGAACCTGCGCGGTTTCCCACTGCGGGAAGAATCGTTCATGGACGAGGTCCTAAACACAGCTACAGGTCGTTAGCGCGGAATCCGGGGAGGGGGGGAATTTTCTCACCGCCTTAACCACTCGGCCAAACTCCCAGATGGTTGATTGAGAACCGTTAACTACTGTTTATATCTGTCTTTGGAGCCTTCGGGAGCCTAGGGAGCCTACGGGAGCAGGTAGGAGCCAATGGGAGCTTGCGGGCGCCTACGGGAGCCCCTGAGATAAGAGCCAATCGGAGCTAACAAGGGCCAATATAAGCCAATAGGAGCTAATAGGAGCCAATGGGAGTTGATTAAGGAGGATAAGTGCTTATTAGGTTACCCATTTCCATGTGTGATACCTAGGTAAACTTTCTGTTCCTTAGAGGCCATTAAAACGGCCCGGGATTAAGTTAACCTGAAGGGGAAAAGGCTCTGGTCTGGCACTGTGGATAGCTGGGACAGACTCAATGCTAGGTACCTAGGTATGTAAAAATGCTCATGGGACAGTATTAACACAACCAACAATGCGTTGAGAGGAGCAAATTGATTGTGAGAAGCGATTTGGAGGCTCTGGAATCTGGCGGAACAACCAGCATAAAGAAGACCACACCTAAGGGGTACGATATGACAAGTCCGACGAAGCAAAAAGTATTTACCGTAAATCGCACATCGGCCTAACTAATAAGCAGCAACTGCACCACTCAAAGACACGGTCCTCGACAAAGCAAAATCACACCCCCACCCATCCCATCGACCACAATGCCATTTGACGACGAAGACCCAATCCTCTTCTCTCCCACCTCCCTCACCGCCGGAACCACGACCGCCTCCAACCTCGACGACGCCGCCGCCGAAAATGTAGACATCGACGAAAACCGAGCGCGAAACGCAGCGGCGGCCCTCCAAGAAGAGGAAGACGCGGACGATGCGCTCGGCGACGAGACACAGGATTTCCGGCTTTTCCTCGCGACCCTCGGCGGCGGTACCAACAATAAGGGCTCCAAGAAAAAGGCGTCGGGCAAGACGCTGCGCCGCGGCGAGAAGGACTTCGAGGCGCACGGGACGCGCGCGCAGGAGGGCGCGCTTGAGTCGAGCCGCGACGCCATGCACGAGGTCCTGAGCTACACGCGCACGCACAAGCCGCGCGACTACACCCGCGGGTGGTACTTTCCAGACAAGTGGGCGGACGTGCCTCCGGCCGAGGCCGAAGCCGAAGCCGAAGATGATGTTGAGGCGGGAGAGGAGGAAGCGACGACGACGAAAGGGCAGGACCAGAAGAGAAGAAGAAGGAGCGGAGCCGCCGCCGGTCTGGCGGCCCGGGAGCGCGTCGTTGCCCTCGAGTCCGATATGGGATCGCTTTCCACAACGACCGGAAGAGTGGTTACCGGGGTGGAAGGCGCGAGGCGCACGCCTGGGGGCACCAAGACCTGGTTGCTGCCCGAGGAGGCGCTCTATCTCGTCGAGAGGGGGTCGCTGGATCTGTGGTGGCCGGCGAGGGGCATCGAGGATATCCTTCCCGTCACCGCCGATAACCAGCAGCAGCAGCTGCAGCCGGGTTTGGACTCGTCGAAGACTGCGGCAACGACGATGACGCAGAGACCAGTCTTCGAGGACTACGAGCTCGGTGTCCCGCTCAGCCTGCAGGCGGCGTACGCGCTGCTCATCGGCCGGGACGGCGAGAGGGGCAAAGTCACCCTGGAGAAGTATCAAGTCTACGCGAACCTGCGGCGCGCGGGTTACCGCGTCCATAGAGCTACTACTACACGTCTAGTACCCCCACGGGCTGACCCGAAAGAAGAACGACACCGGAGGCCGACGACGCTCTGGCAGTGGCTAGTCTCCTTGTTGTCACCACCATCGTCGAGACAGTCATCGTCATCATCATCATCATCATTATCATCGACAACACGTCCCTTCGGCCCCCTAGTCAAGCCCGGTCTATACCGCTCATACCTCCCCATCTACGACCAACTATCCCTCATCCCCCGACACACGCCCACGCCCAAACCGCAACACCACCATCAAGAGCAACAACAACAACGACAACATCAGCCCGACCTCCTCCCCCTCCCCCTCCCCCGTCCCGACGACCCGTTCAAGATCTACTTCCACGTCTGGAAGTCCGCCAACCCAAACTACACCAAGACGCGCCCGCCAGCGCCCGACTTCCGGATCGCCGTGGTCGACGCGCGTTCCTCGCGCGTGCCGACGCTGGAGCAGATGGCGGCGCTGCTGGAATCCACGCCCTGGGATCCTCCTCCTCCTCTTCCTCCCGGCCAGGGAGGTGGTGGGGTGGGCGGCATGTACCGACGACTAAAACACGGGTACCGGAACGCGGTCCTCGCGGTCGTGGACCAGGGGCTGATCAACTATATGCAGCTCAACGAGATGGCGTTCGGGGAGGAGAGGCTGTACGAGGGGTTCGGGGGCAAGACGAGAGGAGGTGGATCGAAGGGGGGGAAACGGGGCGGTAGAGGGGGTAGGGGTAGAGGTAGGGGCAGGGGAAGGGGAAGGGGGGTTGGTGGGAGGGGGAGAGGTGGTTGAGCGAGGCTGTATGGATGCATGGATGGATAGATGGATGGGAGGAGATGATAACTGGTTTGGTTCAACTTGTCTCTTGTTGAGCTTAGCAAGACCAGAGGAGGTTCTGGTTGGAGAGAGAGAGAGAGAGGAAATGAATACGTTAGGGAAGGCTCTGACTGATTGGACTGACTGACTGGCTGACTGGCGGGATAACCAACTATCTGGGTGTCTGTCTAGCCAGCCAGCCAGCCAGCCAGCCAGCCCGCCCGCCAGTCATGACGACTTCTTCTCAGACCAGTTCATCACAACTGATCGATCCACCATCATCCCGACAATCCAACCCAGCAGTTGAAACGACGATTTCGCCAGCATCGATCAGGAAAGAAACATATGGCGTGCTTGCCGTTCTGTACTGTACGCACTATATTCCGCGTTCTCGTTTTAGAGACGCATCTACGTTGCATGTTGAACGGGGCTACGCTTTTTACGGGAAGCTTTCTGGTATGTATCCAGAGATTAGATCGTAGTCATCCCGTCATCATATTGTATCTATCTATCTACTTGGGTTGGAAGTGATTATGATTATGTTAGATAAATATTGGATGAATGAAGATCTCCAGAAATCGACGCCCGTCTTGGCTTTCGTTGTCGACTTGGTACCTGCAGTAATCCGATGGTTTTATCTATCTATCTAGTGATTGGGACCGAAGTGCTAAGTGTTAACTAGTTAAGTGCTTGCTTATTTTAGTGATCTCCCTACCTTTTTCTTCGCTCGAGGAGGAGGCAGTCCCACGGAATCGTTTTTGTTTCGTTTCGTTTCGTCTTATCAGTAAATATGTAGGCAAAGCAGACCGCCAGAGGAAAGCACTTCTTCTTCGACGATTGACGCAGTTCCATCTTTCGCTTCCACCCTATCTCCAGCTATCTCCTACGAAGCGCCGACGACGTACGTGATCTCATAAACGCAGGACTATTTTCCATTTCTTCGAAGATGTCACTTACCCCCTTCAACAATGAGGGAAACCCCAACCTTTCCAGCAGGGAGGGCGGTCGCCGGTCGGTCGGTTGGTGGGGTGGATGTGCTTGTGTTTGTGTGTTCATGTCGGTACCCGAATCAAGCTGGACTTCCAAGATAGTCGCGTGATATCTGTGTTACTGTTTGTCATGTTCGTGGAATGAAAGGGGGCAAGGGGGCAAGGGGGGGAGAGGGGAAGTTGATTGTACGAAAGGAAGGCGTCGTGACACCACAAGTACATGTACTCAAGTAGGTACCTAGGTAGGTAGGTAGTCCTTTGGTCGCCGTGTCACCGACCGAACCCCCTTGCGGTCGGTGCGTGTGTTTGCGAGTGTTTTTTGCTCAAACATTGTACATTACCGTGAAGGCGATAAGGAGTCATTCGTTGGACCTGAGTACCTACCTGTACGCACAAACCATCTTCAACGCGACGGAATACAGTTTACTCGTAGGCTGACGTCGGGGTTTTTCCTTGCGGGAAACAAAATATCGTCATGATGCCATAATGATGATAATTCAAACAAGGGCCGGGAGTCAGTTATCAGAAGCCCGCGTCATTGGATATTGATATCACGGGTCATCTTTTGAGCGCAGTGTGAGTCATTTTGGTGAGTCCGGGTATCTGTCAATCCGTGCGTGGCAGACTGGATTGTTCTGATTGCCACATTTTTTATTTCTTTTTTTTTCCTTTTACGCCAATACCTATTTATATATCTCATCCCCAATCCAAGATCTTGTTGTGTTGTGGCGATCTGTCGAGTTGAAACGCGTCTTGGAATGTAAAACTGTACGTAAGCCACCATCACCATCCGGGTTTGGGGCGCGAAGAACGAGAAACACACTCCCTCATGCGCGCGCACTTCCAAGGTGACATATATCTCTAGGTATATATAGAGGGTCATGGATAATTTCATGTTTCTAATGGTCGTACCGGTTGAGATCGGCCTCATCTGTACCTAATCAACTTGCATCTCACGATTGACGGTCAGAGACGGGAAATAAACAACAAGAAGAAACAAAGAAAGAGAGACAGAGTCCCATCTACGATTTCGGGTGCCCGCCCAGTCACCCAGTCTGCCAGTGTCCTTTTAGCATTTGCCAGCCAGCCCAATTTAATGGCAAAAAAGTGCTGCCGAGGTTGGCGTCTCATGTGTGCTCTTTTAGGCTAACCTAGAATTTCTCAATCTCAATCAAGACTGAAACCTCAGGCAGACCTTGTTTGACACGAGATTGGGGGGGTCGAAAGGGTTGCATTCCAGATCAAACTCCAGTCTCCCCGAATCCAGCAAAATTTTCACTTTCATACACAGCACTCGGCCGCCGATGTGACGCAGTCAGTACTTTCTTTCCATGTTGATGGGAGTCGCTTGCATCCCCCCAACTTACCTCGGTATGCAACTACAGTTGGACCAGCATGGCATTCTTGTGTTATGGCATTTCTCATGTAGACGATGTTGGGTCGAGTCTGAGCCATCGGGCCAGTCTAGGTATGGAATGAGTACCAGACTCCGAACGTTATTAAACTCGCTTACATCTATCTGTAGACTGTAGGCCTTCATGTTGTACCTCAGAGAAA